TGCCCCCCGCGGGGGGCAAAGGACCCCCCGCGGGGAAACGCTCGGGCCAGGCGGGCAGCAGCCGACGTTCATCACTGCTCCCACGGCTGGGAGGGCTGCTGCTCCTCTCTTTCAAGGCCCTCTTTGAACGAGGGTGGCAAATGAAGAGCGCCGAGAAAACGTTCTGCCCTTCCTAACGCAGGCTCTTCCAGCAAGGCACACAAGGAAATGTTTCCTCTTTTCTTCTTGGGCATTCAGGGGGGAGGCGGGCTGCTACTGAACATGGAGGTTCCATGTTGCACTTCGGCCCAACAGCTGCTGGCGAAGAAACAGCCCGGCGCACGAGGCAAAGCAGGACTTTGGAAGGAAAGGCAGTTCCACGGCACGGCTGTTTTTCCACCAAAGGCGGGCAGACCCAGAAGGAGCCCACCTCTGGAGGAGGAGGAGGAGGATTTGGCGGAGGAGGAAGGTTCCCCCTTGCCATCTGCCCCACTTCCCTTGCGCTCGGCCCTCGCGCCTCTCTGCCTCCGTGCGCTGCTAATGAATATTAATGAGAAGGAAGGAGGGAGAGGGGAAAAATTAATCTGCCTGATCCTTCAATGGCTGCAGCAGTAACGATATGAAATCTAATTATTCGTCCCAATATTTCTAAACCCTCAACTCAGACTGACAGTCTTGGTCGGTTTACGGCTTATCGTTCCAAGGAGCAGAGTGCTCAAGGCTTGATAATAACACACACGTGCAAGTTCCTCTCTCCCTCCCACTGGCACACACACACGCACACACAAGGAGACCCACGCTTTTGCTGACGATTCAAAAACAGCCGTCCCACAACGTGCGTGCACGGGCGAGGACACGGAGCTACCCCAGTGCAGAAGGGAGGCGCAGCGCCGGTGCGCGGGTGCAGCCGGGTGGGGAGGACGCACCTTCTCCATCGCGGATTCGGCCCTTGGGGTTGCCCCCTGCCCGGCCTCTGCTCTGTGCCACGTTTAGCCACGGAGAGGCCCCGTGGGTGGGGGACCGATGCCAACCAGGCCTGATCCAGTCTGGGGCATCGCCCTGCCCACCCCCAAAACCGGAATGCCCTCTCCCCAACCAGCCCTTGCCATGGCCAAGCTGTTCTCTTCTTCTTCTTCGGTGTCTGTTCTGGCAAGGAAAACTCTTCCCGCTGTGTCGAAGTTTACGCACCTGGAGCAGGTGCAAAGATGCTTGGAAAAGTTTGTGGGGGCGAGAAAAGGGGTGGTGGAGGAGAAAGACATTCAGACGCTTTGATTTCTCTATTCGTGTTTCTCAACCTCGGGAACTTGAAGATGTGTGGACTTCAACTCCCAGAATTCCCC